TGTGTGACTGAAGATGTTCCATAGCGCAGGGTTATCATTAATCTGGTTGACCTGCCTACATCCGAACACACAGGCGACCGTTACGTATGCCATTTCTTTGATGTGGCGTCACGTTATAACTTGCTCTATCCGTTAAAGGCCAAGAGTACGCAGACCGTGGCAGAAGTATGTTGCCAAGTCTTTGCTGACCACGTGTGGCCAAGTATAATGTGTACTGAAAACGGTAGCGAGTTCTGAGATGACGTAATGGAATCATTAGTACTCATATCAGGCGTGTGCCATAAAAGGGGTGTACCATATTAACCGCAAATACAAGGCGCAAATGAAACGCGCCATAGAAGACTTAAGTTCTTCTTACGTACTACATAAACGGATGATGCAGATGATTGACCGTACCACCTTAAGTGGGTACAAACACAGATTAACGAGTGTGCTGATCCGGTCACAGGTACAACACCCGTTCACTATAATCGTGGCAAATATAGTGAGTTACAAATACCTTTCAAGGACGAACCTAATCACCATGAGTAACCATGGTTAGAGAAGGTACAACGTATTTATAACGTTGTATATCCTAGCTTGCGAGAAACACGCAGTATTACCTTAATATAAAGGCAAAATAGATGGAATGCTACCAAAAAGAGAGCAGAGTATCAGGTTGGAGACAGAGTTAACATCCGTCAACGTAATTCCGTTGCTACTGTATTAACATCTAAATGGATAGGACCAAAGATAATCTCTGTAGCTGACGTTAAAAGTGGAATCTATGAGGTTAATAACCCCGACGGTTCCAGTGCTTATTATTCATATATGCTTAAGACACTGAAGCGTAAGAAACGTCCAGTCGACCACCACGGATCTACTGGACCTAAGCACAAAACTCACAGGGTAACCAAAATCGCTTAACTTCTCCGCCTGAGAAACATTAACTATATGTTATGCTACTTAATGTTTTCGGCCCGTTTTTCCTTTCTCGCATTTTGACCCATAATCAGTTTGGATGAGCAACTTGCTTTTCATGGCTCAAAGCCGAGTGAGGCTGTGTAATAGCCGGGCCTCCACATTAGACTCTATGTTATAAACGTAATCTTAAGCAGTACGTGAATTACAAACGTACTCTTAATAGTACGAGGAACTTAAGTTTCCTAAATGGTTTTTAATGGTTCTATTAATTAATACCTTTTTCATTTTACATATCATATATTTGGACGAGGCCATTAAAAGGCTTCAGTAAAATACCAAACGTAAGAGTTGGTCTAGTTCTATTAATATAACTATATTTACTTTCCAACTTTATTAATATTTGAATACTTCGGTAGCGAGATGGCTCAACCGTATATAGGTTTCTAAGGACTATTAACGTTACAATGAAGGCTAAGTCGGTAATTCTTGATAAGTGGCAAGTTATTGGTTAAGACAATATCTAAGGACATCAAAAGTATATATATTTTTCTTCTAACGATAGGATTTTATGAGTCTCTCAGATTCGCCCTAATGTAACATACCATAGTTTCTAATAGTGTATATATAGGCAATGTCTCAGCCTCACTATCCCTCCGAGTATTACTATTTTCACGAGGCATACCTAACTTTACTAAAAGTCTCATTTCGCTTATTTACTTTGATATTTTCACGATACTTAGAATTTACCTACGCGTTTTTTACTCTAAGGCGTTAATATCGCCTTAATAGACCGAATCTTACACTAATCGCTTCTTACGGATCAAAGCGATACACTCTTCACAAGTTCCAATACATCCATCATATTGACACATGGTGCAAATACTTGCACAATGCAATCTACAACCACTGAACGTACACTATCGTTTTATGTACATGTATGTACATAAAAATGTGACATTTTGATGAAAAATATAGTGATTTCAAAATTGCGCGCCCAAAAATCCAGAGTAAATCCCAAAATAGAACAGTCTATTTCTCTTTATCAAGTGAAAACGTTGTCTGACCCTCGTTTTCACTTGTTAGAGGAAAATTCTGGATTTCGAATTTTGAGGAGAATTTCTTGGAGGTGCAGTCCTGTAATTTGAAGTTGCCAAACGGGACAATCTGAACGAATTTCAAATTTCAAATTGTCATGAAAATTTTCTAGAATTTGAAATACGCTTCAAAATTTCAGGACGACGATATGACATACACAAGTTAGTTCCTGGAGTAAGGTGTTTTACTCCATCCAAGAATTTATTTTCTAAATTTCAGAAAGTTGGCAAAACCGGCCATACTACATTAGGCAGGACTAATTGGACTAATTGCCTATGTACTTTATATGTTGGAGTAACTTGCAAAATCTATTCCAGACATACATATCATACATAAAAAATAAATACATAATTTTTATACATACAAATGCATAGCCTTCTGTTCTATTTTCAGGTTGCTATGACATATGTAGCCTGATATAGCCAATTTTTATTTTTAGTGATATAAATAGATAAGTAGTCATACTGTACATACGTACATATTATTAGCTATTCCATTTTTACAGGGGAGAGTAGAGAGTAGAGAAAGTATGATCTATTTAGTAGGCTATGCCGCTATGGTATTTACTATTTTGTTTAAAATTTGTTTTTGTAAAAAAGCGGCGTTGTAAATACATAATCTGTATGACTATGTACAATCTAATAGTCTATACAGACTGTACTCATTATTGAGTCCTGACTATCGAGTACTCTCACCTTGTAAAACGGTGTGTACCTGTGTATGCACTATGGTCTGTGTAGCACTGTAAACGGTGTATGTATTTACTCTGGACTCTGTGGTGTTTTTCAACTATTTTTCAACTATTTTACGGGGACGAAGAGTAGTAAAATAATTTCTGTCTACATAAAAACATATTTGTTTTTAAAAAACTAGTCTTTTCACTGTACATACGTAAATATATTTCATTTCATATTTCATATTTATAGACCGAAGTGAATAGTCGAGACGACCCAGGAGTCAGGCGTGAGGCTAATGGTCCCAGTACCGACTGCAAATTTGACCAATATGCGGCGCTACCGCTATGTATTATGTACGGAAATATAACGAGTGATATCGCAATTTATTTCTTCAGAATAAATTCACGGGTGTTAAAATTCGGAATGTTAAGCGTGAGAGGTGCCGTACTAACAGCTTGTGCCAGCATTGCTGTCGCTCAAGTTAACGGTACTACAAATAGTAGCACATCAAACTGCAATCCCTACGTATTTGATTATGAAGGTAATAGATATAACTGGTATGATGATGATGAGGTAGTCTACAATGGTACTACACTACTAGGCAATATTACAAATATAGTGACTGCTGTGGTTGCAAATAGCACATTCGCCAATTATCCGGATGAGTACCCTTACCCGCCTGGAATTGTTATCACGATACAAACAGCCGAAGGAATTTTCGAGAAGGGATACGGTTACGCTGACGCAGGCATGCAAACACCCATGAAAACGAACGCCAGAGTGGAGGTCGGATCAAATACTAAGGTGTTTGTTGGTACTTTACTCATGCAAGCTGTTGAGCAGGGATTGATGGATGTCAATGACTATATGACCTCGTATATTCCAGATGTTGCTGTCACGGTGGTAAATAGTGATAAAATCACAATCAGACACCTGATGACACACAATACAGGATTGTTCGATTATGGTGACGATATTATTCGAAATTCTTTGGGTTCCAGACAAAACATGACTGAATCGTATAGTCCGGAAGAATTAGTGAATTCTATAAAAGGACGTACAGTGGGCTTCGCCCCTGGTAATTGCACTGAATTCTCATACAGTAATACCAACTATGTATTAGTGGGTCTCATATTGGAAGCAGTCCATAACAAAAGTCTTGTTGAACTTATGAATGAGGGTATACTACAGCCATTAAACCTGACCGGCACGACTTTCTTTGAAGGAAGCCCAGATGCTAACAGTTTGGATAGCCATGGATATTATTGGAAATATGACACGATGACCTCGTCAGATGCTATTTTACTGGACACAACACGATGGAATCTCAATCAGGGATGGGCTGCAGGTGCCATCATTAGCACTGGGCGAGATATGGTGACGTTCGCACGTGCCTTAGGAAAAGGTGAATTGTTTGCGAAGGGCACAGAGACCTTCGAATTGATGAACGGCTATTTCAGAACTTCCAATATGGCCCTCTATGGCTTCAGCGGATATGGCTACGGCCTAGGCGAGAGTTTCGCGCCGGATCTACATGCTCATGGCGGGCAAACACTTGGATTTCGCTCCACCTTCGTGTTCTCTGTCGACCAAGATTTTCAGGTTTTCATTGCTCAGAATGAGGCAGCGGAAAGTACCGCTGCAGTGGAGGCAAACCAATTTACAACATTCATGCCCAGTTTATAAGCGAATTAATGATGAAGGCAAAGCTAATATTGTATTGAAAGCTACATGGCAGATATTAATCGATGCATATTTTCCATCCCAGACAAATTTGTCGTACAGTAGATTCGCGCGTTTGATTGTCCAACACAATATTGTAGGAACAATTTAGTTTGTCAGTGTATATAAATATCTATACCAATTCAAAAGGAGCCAAGAAGCGGGGAAAACCTGCAGGCAAACATACAGACTGCGATTATGCAGCACAGTGCGCTGCACACGGCCATTCTACTGCTCGCCCAAACAAAGTCTTAGAACTGAATCAGGGGCTATTGTATATATCCGCCAATTCCTGGTATTAATCGAGCTTGCGTAACTGGATGCCCTGTTGAATCAAAAACTGGCAGTACTGACTATATTTTGAATAATTAATAAGCCTGAACTTGAATGACCACTTGCATTGAGATATCTCTCTCTCTCACTCACAACACACACACACACACACACACACACACACGTGT